TTATTTTTCCTTTGTGTGTATGAGTGTTATGCCTACATGTAGGTAAGTGCACCTGTGTCATGCAATGCCCGAGGAGGACAGAAGAGGCTGTCAGATCCTCTGGAACTGGAGTTACAGACAGTTGTTAGTTGCCAAGTAGGTGCTGGGATTCAAACCCAGGTCTTCTGCAAGAACAGTGTTCTTAACCGCTGAGCCATCTCTCCAGCCCCCAAAACATGTATATATTAAGGAGTACTACTGAGGTACAAGCTGGAGAGGTAGTCAGTGGCACAGTGTTTGTGTAGCAAATATGAGACCCTGGGTTCAATCCCCAGTACGGGAAAAAGTAATGTGTACAGTTCAAGAAAGCCTGACCTCATGGCCTATGCTTATGATTCCAGCATTTAGGAGACTGAGGCAGGAGGATCATGAGTTCAGCACCAGTCTGGGCTAAATTGTGAGACTCTCTTAAAACAACAGTAACAATTTTTTTTTAAGTGTACAGTTTGGTAGTTTTATTATATTCATAGAATGTGTAGCCATTTTGACAGTAAATTTTAGATTTTTTTTTTTTTAATCACCCCAGAAAGACTCCATCTCCATTAGCAGTCGCTTCTCATGTATGTCAGGCTCTCACAGCCTTGGGTAATCACTGACTCTGCTTTGTCTGTATATGGATTTACCTAATCTGAACTCTATAAATGGAGTCACACAAGCTGCGAGTTTGTACACTTCTTACAGTTTTGTTTGCAGAAGCACCTGAGAGAGTTGAGTGAGTAGGTGGTTTTCCAGATTGAGCAGGTATTTTGGGAGCTTGTTATCTGTCCAGGAAAAATGGGGAAGTTAGTTTCCAAGTAGCAGTGGCTTAGCAGGCTCCTGGGATAGAGCCAGTCAGCAGCTCCATCTAGAAGCAGACCATCTTTCCTATCGTGTGCATGGAGCCTCCACCTGCACTCCTTTCCTGCTCAAGGGCTGTAAAACTCAGTGGCTTGCTGAGGGAACATCTTCAATCAAATAGATTTCTGGTTTTGTGATTATCTTGCAAAGTTGATTATATGTTTTATTTATGTGCTTTCAATAATATTTTTCCAGTTGAGCTGATTTGCCTGATCTTATGCTGTGCCCCCCCAAACCGGGGATCAGAACAGAAGGAATTCACAGGATCATGTTGTTCTTACTGCAAGGACTGACTTCACTCCTTGAAGCCTGTGCTGCCCTAGAAGTTACCTGGTTTTCAGATGACAAAAGAGTCTAAGCTTTTTTTTTTTTTTTTTTTTTTTTGAGACAGAGTCTCCCTTTAGCCCCAGCTGGCCTGGAACTTGCTATGTAGACCAGGCTGGACTCAGTCTCATAGAGATCTGCCTGCCTCTGCCTACCAAGTGCTGGGATTAAAGGTGTATGCCACCATGCCTAAGAAAAGACTCTAAAAGGGGATTAGGATTCCTTCGGTTGAAGAATTTTTTTTAAAAAGAACTCAGGGCTAGAGAGATGACTCAGTGGTTAAGAGCAAAGGCTGCTGTTACAGAGGACTCCAGTCCTGTTCAGAGCACCCACATAGTAGCTAACAACTGTCTGTTAATGCCAGTTGCAGAGAATCTTGATGCCCTTTTCTGGCCTCTGTAAGCATAGTGCACTTACATATATGCAGGCAAAACATATTCACATAAAAATAAAAATAAACAAATCAAAAAGAAAGAAAGGAAACTGAAAAAACATAAGACTTCATTTATTGGCTTGTGACTCCAAAGTCTAGTGAATAGAAAAACAGTTGAATCTGGAGGCTCAAAAGATCCAGCCTGGCCTTTCCTTTTCCCTCCCTCCCTTAACTTGATTCTTTTTTGTGTTGGTGTCGTTGCTGGACAGGTTTTGTTTTTGTTTTTGGTCTTTTTGAGACAGGGTCTCCCTGTAGCCCCAGCTGGCTTGGAACTCGCTATGTAGACCAGGGTGGCCTCAAACTCATAGAGATCTGCTTGCCTTCCCCAGTGCTAGGACTAAAGGCATGTACCACCATGCCTGGCTGCTGGACAAGTTTTATATCACAATGGCCACTGGAAGCGCCAGGATAATAGCTCTAACATGGGGTAGGGGTGAGGAGAGGGTAAGGATGTCTTTCCTAGATTTTGAAAGTGGGTTCTGGGATCTAGTCTCCTTGCACATCCCTGGTGGAAGAGAGAGTTGCATGTAATTCACCAGCCTAGGGTATGATTTCCCACCAGGAGGGAGGGCAAGAGGGTCATTAGCACATTTAAACTGCATGGACTGAGAATGGGAGAACAGTGATTCCAGGGTGCTGTTGCCAGGAGAGCATATGTGCTGTGCACAGTCACATATCCTTCTGCTACAGAGACATGAGAGCTCATTTGGGCAGGATAATATGTTCATAGAAGTAAATATCTTCTGCTAAAGACTAGAGAGAGAAAATAGGAATAAACAATAGTAAGGGAGACCTCAGTGAAAGATAGGTTTAAGAAAAGCTAGATATTGTCAAAGATGTATACAATAAATCCCATTTTCCCACTGTTTTCCATTACAGAGTCACAACTATAGTCCTAAGGAAACAAGCCCTTAGATCTCTGAGTTGGGAGGTTCTGTATAAAAAGTGGCTGTGACAGCGAAGACCTTTTCATGCACTGATGATTCAAAGCTGGTTGAACTGAAGCTGCCACTTCCCAAAGCACCTTTCTTTGAGGCTCTTCTAGAACCGGGAAGCTGTTTCCTTTCTCTCCCTCAGCAAACAATTCATGTACCTTTTTCTTAAGCCACAGACCTATTTCTACTCATTCTAGGTAGCCCAGACTGGCCTTGAACTTGTGATCCTCCTGCCTCCTAAGTGCTAGGATTACAGGTGTAAACCACCACCTGACTCTCTGAGCGATTTTTACACTCATTGATACATTGAGCACCATTACTGAGTGCCCGCTATGTGCTGGCACACTTCTAGACATTGGGGACCCAGCAGAAAATAAAACAAAATCCTTGATTTTATGCAGTTTGCGTTCCAAGGAGAAACAAGACAATAAATAAGGGAATGTATGACCTATAAAGTAATATTGTATGCTAAGAAGAGAATGATGTAAGGTGAGGAGGATGGAGTGGTAGTGGAGGGAGGCTGCCTCTTTATGTTTAATAAAGTGTATGTGTTTGAAATGTGGGAGCAAGCCTGCAAGCATCCAAACAGATGCAGTGCCAGGAGCAGATTGCTGTACTCAAAAAAAGCTGGGTGGACAGAATTGTAGAGGGTACATGAGCAAAGGATAGTGTGGACAAGAGGCACCTTCAGCATTGTGTTCAAGATTCCTTCACAAGGGATGGGGAGAGGGGTAGAGAGTGGAGGGGATGGAGCTGCTTATTCAGTGGAAGACCATTGGGGGTTGGGACAGCAGAACGAAAGGGCCTGGTTTACATTTTAAAGTGTTCCAGCTGCAATAAGGAACAGGGGTAGAAACAGGCAGAGCAACTGGGGAATTACTTCGAAAAGCCAGAGCGGGCATCAGCCACCAGGGTGGGAGAAGTGAGAACAGGAAGACCTGTTCACAGCACATTCTGAAACCCCGGTTTCCTTCTTTATTTTATTTTTTTTCCTCACAGCAGGAGGAAGGCACATCCTTCCCTTAGAAGGATGTAATCTCCCTCCTGAGTAATACAACTTTTATAGTTTGGAGACAGCAGCTTTATCCTGGTCCCGCCTGAGTTCATCTCTTCCTTCACGGCATCCCTGCCCAGGTTGTTGAATAGGAAGCTGGGCTCAGATATGATAGCACTGTTGTAGAGTACACGCCGTGAAGGCCTTGGTATGGACGGGAGAAGGAATCCAGGGACTCAGCCATGAGCTGAGATCTAATACCCATCATCCCCAGCAGGCTCAGAAAATGTTTCCTTAGGAAAACTGCCCTCCCCATTCATAGTTTTACAGAGAGAAATTACTCTGGAACACAGACTGATAGTGCACTCATGTCTGTGAACCGTACTAGTCATCAAACTTTACAGTCTTAGCATGAAGGATCCCTAGTGGTCTCTCACTGCTGTGTGAGTCCGTGCCAAGGCATGTGATGACCTAGCCTCTGCCTCAGAGTCCATAACCTAAGACCACAGACTCTCAATATTGACCTCAGAGATCTGCCTGGGACTAGACAAATCCAGGGGCCTGAACGCCCACACTCACCTTCCATTTACAACAAATGTCATCCCTCTAAATAGAGACCAGCCCTTGCTTCTAGAATTACAGGTGGGTTTAAATGTCTTTGTATGTGAACTGAGTTTGATTCCCAGGACCCATGTGGTGGAAGGAGAGAACTGACTCCTCCTGCAAGTTATCCTCTGGTCTCCACATGCTTGCTATCACACACACACACACACACACACACACACACACACACACACACGCAAATAAACATAAATAATAAATAAATGCTTTTCTATTCATCCCATCACAGGCTTCCTAGGTCTCTTTGCCTTTCTGTCCTTAATAATGGCTTCTTTCTTTCTGCCCTGAACCCCAGGAGTTGCCCTTCTCTCAGATGTGTACCCTGAGAAAATCTTGGTTGACCTGTTGGCCAAATATGACAGCGGCAAAGACAAGCACACTCCAGAGACTAGAATGAAAATTGGGGAGGTCCTGATGCGAATTGTCAGAGCACTAGGTGAGTTTTCTTTTTCTCTCCGTCTGAAACAGTGGAAGAGCATGGGGCCGTTAAAATCAAACTCTGCTAGAAGGCTGGTTGCACTAGCAGGTGAACACATATGAGGGATGGAGAGAGCCTCCTGGTCCCTGTTTGATGATTTAGTACATAATCAGCAAAAAGGCCTACGATAGATTGCCTACGATAGTGGTGTCTTGTTTTCTTATAACTCCTTAGTTTCCCTCCCCTGGGGCTGTGTTGCAGGGCCCAACTTTTCTGGGTTTGTGTGTTTGAGATGGGATCTCCATATGTAGGCTAGACAGGCCTGGAACTTACTATAGTCCTGGCTGGCCTCCAATTCACAGCCTCTTGCCTCAGGCTCTAGAGTGCTAGGTATACCCCAACATGCCCAGCTTTGAGCCCCAATTTATAATGGACCTGAAAAGAGACGTTACATACTTAAGGAGCAATAGGCATATAAAGAAAATGTAAGGGAGTGTACCAGCTCTCGGGAATGTCTTCTGCATGTCAAGTTGTCCGTGTCTATAATCTCATCTAATTTTTCCTAAAAGGTTTTTGAAGCTGTTGTTGAACCCATGATATAGATGAGGAAACTGGGTCATACACCTTCAGCAATTTGTCTAGAACTCATTCAGCTGGTGAATGGTAGTACTAGTTACCACCAGCTTCAGGAGTTGCTCTAGATTGCACAAGCTGAGTCTTGGTTAATAGCATGGGCTGTAAAGTTGCCCCCACCCCGCTGCAGCTCCCAATCCCCGACTCAAATCTGGCTGGCAGTGTCATCATGGAAATGTTTATTTCATGGTGCCTTAGTGTCCTCTATAAAATGAGGGTATTAGCCAGGCATGGTGGTGCACGCCTTTAATCCCAGCACTCAGGAGGCAGAGGCAGGCGGATCTCTGTGAGTTCAAAGCCAGCCTGGTCTACATAGTGAGTTCCAGGACAGCTGTGGCTACAGGGAGATCCTGTCTCAAAAAGACCAAAAAATAAAAATAAAAAAAGAGGGTATTAAATAGCACTTCTAGTAGTGATGATGGAAGGATTAAGTAAGGAGCTATTTTCAATAATGAAATTAAGGAAAGCAGCTATGTTTGGTGGTACAGGCCTGTAATCCCATCAGAGAGCTAAGGTGGAGATGACAATGAGTTCAGGACCAGTCTGGGAAAGTTAGTAAGACCCTGTCTCAACATAAAAAGTTAAAAGAGCACTTGGAAGCCAGGCGTGGTGGGGAACGCTTTTAATCCCAGCGCTCTGGAGGCAGAGGCAGGTGGATCTCTGTGAGTTCAAGGCCAGCCTGATCTACATAGTGAGTTCTAGGACAGCTGGGGCTACAGGGAGACCCTGAATCAAAAAGACAAAAAAAAAAGTTAAGAGAGATCTGGGGATATGGTTAAGTGTTAGAGCGCGCTAGCCTGGAATGTGTGAGGTCCTGGGTTCAATTCCTAATATTGCAAAAAGAAAATATTTTTAAAACGTGAAGGAAAGAAATGCCTTATTATTTGCTGTTTGTTGAGTGACCATGTAGAGCTGTGAGGTAGATACTAGGGAACAAGGTGAAAAAAAAAAAAAAAACAGTTATAGGTATAGAGGTTAGAGCTTGCTGTGGTAGCTCATGCTTAATATCCCAGCACTCGGGAGGCTGAGACAGGAGAATTGCCATAAGTTCCAGCCCAGCCTATCCCAACACACACACACACACACACACACACACACACACACACACACCTGTCTCACTATGCTAACCTGAAATTCATTTTTTTTTTGTCTTTTTTAAGGCAGGGTTTCCTTGTAGCCCCAGCTGTCCTAGAAGTCACTATGTAGACCAGGCTGGCCTCGAACTCACAAAGATCTGCCTGCCTCTGCCTCCCAAGTGTGGGGATTAAAGGCGTGCACCACCACACCTGGACTCATTTAAATTTTTAAGATATTTTCTACTCTTAAAGAAGATGAACTTTATTTGCCTTGGTCCCAAATTTGGGTCTGACATTTCAGACAAGTGTACTGATATAAGAAATCCTCTCACAGTAGGTGTGACTGTTAAGCTTAACGATTCACAGGACCAAGTGTGACTTACCCATGTGTGCCATTGTTAAAGCAGAGAAGGAATGTAACCGTGTACAGACAACATTAGGATGGTGTATTTTCTCTGTAGCATCTGGTGACCTCCACCATTGGGTTATGAACACTGAAAATACACATGTCAGTCCTGACCAGGCAGCCAGGGCATTTCCTAGGGTAAAGGTCGGGGTGGGGATAAAGGACTAGGTTGAGTGGAAGAGAGGTCTCACTTTATATGCCCTCATAATAAACCTGATTTCCCTAAGTCTTCTGTCACTTCACAGTTCATCAATTCTCAAAGTTGTTTTCCAAGTAGTCAGCTTTAAACACAATCTTAGCTTTAACTGCTAGCATTTGATTCCCATTACAGGGGCAGCATCCGTAATCTGAAAAATCTGATGTCCCAAATGCTCCAAATCTAAATTTTTCTGAGTACTTGTCATGATGCCACAAGTGGAAAAATCACTTCTCATGAAACTTTGTTTCATTCAAAAAATCATTAAAAAAAAAAAAAAAAAAAGTCAGGCGCTGGGCGTGGTGGTGCACGCCTTTAATCCTTGCACTTGGGAGGCAGAGGCAGGTGGATCTCTGTGAGTTCAAGGCCAGCCTGGTCTACATAGTGAGTTCCAGGAGAGCTGGGACTACAAGGAGACACTGTCTCAAAAAGACAAAAAAAAAAAAAAAAGAATTCAGGCATGGTGGGGCATGCCTTTAATCCCAGCACTTGGGAGGCAGAGGCAGGAGGATCGCTGTGAATTTGAGGCCAGCCTAGTCTACATAGTAAGTTCCAGGCTTTCTGGGCTACAGGGAAACCCTGTTTTAAAAAAGACAAAAAAAAAAAACCCTGGGGATTGGAGATATGGCTTAGTTAAGAGCACTGACTGTTCTTGCAGAAGATCTGGGTTCAAATCCTAGCATCCACATGGCAGCTAACAACTATCTGTAACTCCAGTTCCAGGGGATCCAACGCCCTCTTCTGATCTCCATGGGCATTGCATAACAAAGGTGCACTTAACATCCAGATATAACACTCATACACATAAAATAAATAGATTTTTTTATTATTATTATTTAAAATAGTGTGCTGGATAGCTTTAGTGTCAACTTGACACACCTGGGTTGAGGGAGCCTCAATTGGGGAAAAGCCTTCATTGGACTGGCCTGTGGCCATGTCCATGGGGCACCTGCTTGATTGTTGAGTGATGAAGGAGGGCCCAGCCCACTGTGGGTGGTGCCATCCCTGGCCAGGTGGGCCTGTGTTGCATAAGAAAGCAGGCTGAGGGCTGGAGAGACCGGGTTCAAATCCCAGCACCCACATGGCAGCTAACAACTGTCCATAACTCCAATTCCAGGGGATCTGACAGTCTCTTCTGTCCTCCACAGGCATTGCATGACATGCAGGCAATAAACACATACACATAAAAATAATAAATTAAGGCCAGGCGTGATGGCACACACCTTTAATCCCAGCACTTGGGAGGCAGAGGCAGGTGATCTCTGTGAGTTCAAAGCCTGCCTGGTCTACATAGTGAGTTCCAGGACAGCTGGGGCTACAGGGAGACCCTGTCTCAAAAAGACCAAAAATAATAATAATAATAATAATAAATTTTTGAAAAAGCAGTCCGATAGGGGCCAGGGGAGCAAGCCAGTAAGTAGCATTCCTCCATAGCCTGTGCTCCAGCTCCTGCCTCCAGGTTCCTGCCCTGAGTTCCTACCTTGGGCTCCCTGATGAACTGTGACCCAGGGGATGTAAGATAAATAAACTCTTACCTCCCCAAGTTGATAGTGGTCAAGAGTGTTTTGTCACAGCAATGGAGAAACAAACAAGCACAAATAGTATGTACGAAGTTACTTTCAGTTCATACATACAGAGTTATATATGAAATATGAAAGAATTTTGTGTTGAGATTTAGGCCGCATTGCCAAAGTAGCTCATTATGCATATTCAAAACTTGCGGAGTTGAAAAAGAATAAAAAATCTGAGAGACTTTGGTCCTCAGCTTTTCAGTAAAGTGTAATCAGCCTGTAACATCAAGTCCAGATGCTCAGATAAAATGACTTGCTGCAATCCTTCAAGTGAAAGTAAGGCTCATTTTTGTGGCACAGCCAATGTTCTTTGTTAACATTGTGGAAGTCCTTGGAACACACTTTATAAAGCTGCTCTTAGTACTACCCTAGTTCCACCTGGGCCTTGCTTTCTTCCTACCCTCGATGGTTTGCAGTGGTGGGGTGGGGGAAGAAGAAGATGCACAGGCAGGAGTGAGTGTGCAGTGCCCGACACTGGTTCTCAGCCTCACTCTGGTTCCCCACTGTACCTGCTGCTCTTCTGTACTAGGTGATGGTGAAAAAGCAGCAGGGGGCTGGAGAGATGGCTCTGCAGTTAAGAGCGCTGGCCACTCTTGCAGAGGACCGGGTTTCAATTCCCAGCATCCACTTGGCAGCTGTCTGTAACTCCAGTTCCAGGGTATCCGATGCCCTTTTCTGACTCCGTGCACGTACACAAATGCAGGCAAAACGTGCATACACATAAAATAAAAATAATAAAATATTTTAAAAATATATTTGTGTATGCATGTGTATATGTGTATGCATGTATTGCCTGCATGTAAGTAAGTGCACCCGTGTCGTGCAATGCCTTCAGAGGTCAGAAGAGGCTGTTGGATCCCCTGGGACTGGAGTTACGGACAGTTGTTAGCTGCCGCATAGATGCTGGGATTCATACCCAGGTCTTCTGCAAGAACAGCCAGTGTTCTTAACCACTGAGCCATCTCTCCATCCCCAAATAAAATATTTTTTTTAAAAAGCAGCACAAGCTTATTTTTCTTTCTGTCTTTAAAACCTAGGCATTCTGCTGGGCGTGGTAGCACACACCTTTAGTCCCAGCACTCGGGAGGCAGAGGCAGTCAGATCTCTGTCAGTTCAAGGCCAGTCTGGTGTACATA